TTTTGATGGGGGGAGGGGCCAGGAGAAAACCACAGCAGGGTCAGACCTTGCTGGGTTGATCCTTGTCAAGCCTTGTTCCATCCCATCTGCAGATTGCCTTTCTCAGCCACCAGTTTTTAGACTGGAGTGCTGCCATTTCTGAACCCTTCCAAGGCAACCTGGTACCCAGCTGATTTCTTAGGAATATCTGTTTGTCTCTCACTTGTAATCCTCCTGTGATTTTGAGGAAAGTATCTTCATACTTGGAAATTTTCAGAGCATTTAGATTATGTTCATATAAAACTTTGACTTTGTGAGTACATATGTATAGGAAACCTTATTTTATTAACATTTATTACCTTATTTGAAAATTGTCAATAATATCCTCTGCATTTGTTCAGTCAAAAGGGATTTTAGAAATACATATCAGAGCAGCTGTGGGTGAGAAAAGTTCATTCCTTATCAGTCATCCAAATTTGCCAAGTTGGTTTATGAAAGCAGAAACTAAATGAGTGAAATTAATRCAGAAACTAAACCCAGGTTGACAACACTGTAAGCCAAAAGCAAAACAGGAAAAAGAGCAGCATTGGTGCTTGAGCTTTCCTCATCTGTAAAGGATGGATTGAAGGTGTCAGCGGGGCAGGCAGACCCACGGCGTTGGAGATAAAGGTCAGGAGAGTTAACAAGGGGCTGTGAGGTGTTACTGCAAAGGGGATGAGGTGCCTTTATGGGACCTCTCAAAATGCTTGGCACGGGGCAGAATTCCTGTTCTGCCAGTGCTTTGGGGAAGGTGGAAACCCCAAGCTTTTCCCAACCATTGCTCATTGCTCACATGGAGCAATGGGAGCTCAGTCATAGGACAAGCTGTGCCAGCAGTTCTGGTTCCAGTCTGTGCTGTAATGCTCCACAATTCCTAGGAGACGTCTCAGTAGTGGGAGGGCATGGAAAAATCCCTCACAGCCACTTTTTGTAACGGGTGGATGTATTTGCCTCTCTTCTGCCAAAGGGATTTTGTGAACCTGGCTGCCAGACTCCTGTCCTGCTCAAACCATGCAGCACTGAAATCCTGGGAGCAGCACCGGAGCTGATCCCTTGTTCAATCCTCAGCCCACCCCCTCTCCAGGCTCTGACACACAGCTCACATCTGGCCCTGCCTCGGGGAGGAAGATCCAGCAGCTCCAGCCACTGCTCCACGTGAGGGAATGGCAGGAAGAGATGGGCAAACACCAATCTGTGCTTTACTTCTTAAAATTACTCAGGAAACGTTTCTACATTAAAGCGTATTTCAGTGTTTCTTGAGGTCAACTGGAGAATACTGAGTTTGCTCTTTTCAAATTAGTAATGTCAAAAATATATATATATATATATAAAACGTTTCTACATTAAAGCGTATTTCAGTGTTTCTTGAGGTCAACTGGAGAATACTGAGTTTGCTCTTTTCAAATTAGTAATGTCAAAAATATATATTAGAAGAATTAATAAATACTTAGAAGACAAGGTGCAATTTCTGTGTAGATTTCTAAGTAAAAAGCCTGTTAAAGGAAAACCTGTTAGATGCTCCCTCCTGCTTTAACAACTAGAGGAATATTTACATAGAAATAATGAAGTGTAATCATCCCAGGCACTGGGGGTCTCAGAACAAGACTCGCTGCTGGGTTTGGGGCCTTGGAACTGAGACCAAATCCTGCAATTTTGGGCTCACAGAGAYGTCTACTTTATTTCAAGGGCTCAGAAAGAGACTGATAAACTTTTGGGCTCACAAAGAGAGAAGCAAGGGTTGCATTCGGGAAACTCAAAATTCAGCCTCAGAGCTTAAAACCAGAGACTGAATCTGCATTTTGGACTATGATGATGTTCTGTGAGTTTCCAGCTTGTTATGAAACCAGGCTGACCTGGCCAGTTTTGGGGCTCAGGAACAGTGACTAAGCCCTGTGTTTTTGGGGTTTAAGGCAGAGTCTAAGTGCTGCATTTCAAGTCCATAGAAGCAGAGGCCAAGTCTTGTGCTTTGGGACTTTGAAACCAGGGCCACTCAGCCAAGTCTGGGTTCACACAGAGACCAAATCCTGCATTTTGGGGGCTGAGGGTAGAAACAGTCCTGTACAGCGTTTGAGCCTTGATAAAGCTGAGAAATGGAGAACAAGTACTGACTGCCTTGTGGCCCCATTTAGGGMTGAGGGAGCAAGTCCTGCATTTTGGGGGCCTAAAAATGGATCATGTCCTATGGTTTTGGCCTCTGAAACAGAGCAAGTGCTGCACTTTGTCTGCTCAAAACCAGGCTACTTTGGCCAGGTGCAGACACAGATTAACTGAGTCATGATTTGGGGATTTGAAATAGGGTCACTGAGACAACATTTGGGCTCACAGAGTAAGTTCTGCATTGAGGGTGCTTGAGGCAGAGACCAAGTCCTGTGTTCTGRGGTTCAGCTTCGTGAAGAGAGACTAAGTGCTACATTTTGGGGGACTTGACA